GGGTGAACTTCTTATGTAAATAAGTTCTTCCAATATTTACAAAGTTTTCTGTGTGTCAATAATATTTCAGGAACTTGAAACAAATTTTAAGCGAGGGAAAGACAGAAAACTAACGGCGTCTAATTACATTATTAATGAGCTCTTCTATAACAACAATACCTAACCCTCTTAAAGGCACAAAACATTAAACTTTATCTGTTGTTATATTATTGCAAATATTCACTGTGAGAATATCTCATACGTGAATAATAATGAAATACTATGAAACACTTCACATTAATAACATATGAATTGTTGCACGTTTGATCTATGAACTTAAATAAATATGTAAATTATCAATGAACTATCCATGAAGCACATTTATGCTCTTACACTGCATTATGTATTCAGTGTTTCTTCAGGGATGACAGTTTCCTCCATTAACCCAGAACATGCAGCTAACTGAGTGGGGGGGGGGGTCTTTACATTGCCTGTTGTGTCTGATTTGTGTGTGTGTGGATTATGTTTATATTACATTGTGGGGACCAAATGTTTTGAAGTTGTGGGGACTATTTTTCAGGTCCCCACAAAGATCTGTGAATGCAATCAAAAAAGTAAAAAGGCAAAACTCTCATGTTTTGTTTGGTTACTTATGGTTAAGGATAGGGCTGGGTAGGGGTTAAGGTCGTCATGTTGGGATTAGAGTTTTCCCCATAGAAATGAATGGAGAGTCCCCACAAAAGTATAATTGCATACCTGTGTGTGTGTGTGTGTGTGTGTGTGTGTGTTTATATCTCCTGGACTGGCATCCCATCCAGGGTTATCCCTGCCTCATACCTTCGCTCCTGGGATAGGCTCCAGGACCATCGTAACCCTGTGCTGCATAAACAGATTTATGCAGAATATTATTTTGTTTGTGGCTCTATTGGAAATATGCATTTTCCTAGTTAAAAACTGGAAAAATTTCTATAAAGATCTGACCATTCTGAGAGTCACTGCTGGCACCCATTCCTATGATTCCCTGCATCTCATCCACACTCGATGTTGTCCTTCCATGTGTCACATATGTGACAAAGGCACTTTTGTTGCGGTCTGCACTCCAAACGGACAGGCGTTGGGCACAGAGAGGCCGGTGTGCCTCTGACTCGTTCTGAAAGAGTGCTATCAGAAACTCCAGGCTATTCTGGGCCTTTATTGTAACAGGGCACCTGACTCATTACAGTAAATTCCCACTGTGCTCACAGACGTCCAGTGTGCTAAATGCCACACTTGACATCACCGCCAAATTTGTTCATGTGGCTCATGTTTTTGCATTAGAATCGATTAGTGAAGTGCTTCCCAGTTCTTTGAATGCCAGTTCCCATAAAAGATGAAAGTGGAGACTTGTTTTCTTGTTTTATTGAGAACTTCAAATAATATATCAATAAATGTACCTATATATATTCAGATATAACTATGCAAATTTATTATTTCTTGCTTGTAATTTTGTTTGCAGGTAGACTTTAACTACACAATTGTTCATTAGCAGAAATTCACCTAGAACACGTTTCACGTAGAACTCTTTAATCAACATGCCGATCCGTGCCATCTCCCACATCTGATTGTGCCTGAATAGGAAGCAGTGAAGCACAGATGCTGTTAAATCTGGCGTGTCTCAGCTGGTATCGACATGGCATCGCACCTGTGCTTCATATTCATGTGTAATCTGGGTTTTCCCCCCACCACAGTCCAAAGACATGCGGTTTATGTAGACTGCTGCACCCAGACTGCCCTTTTGTGTGTGTGTGTGTGTGTGTGTGTGTGTGTGTACCCTTGATGGACTGGCATCCCTACCAGGATAAATCCTGTCTCTGCTCTCTTTGCTGTGGTATGGACTCCTAGCTCAATATTACCTAGAGGTGGATAAGTGTATTCCCCACGGACAAGTCTGTGTTCCCCACGGACAAGTCTGTGTTCCCCATGGTTATAAACCTGAGTCCCCACATGCCCTGGCATTGAGACAACCAGCGATTGCTCACTGTTAAATACTGCCATGATTTTTCTTGTTGCCATTACAGTCGACGGACTTTACCTCCAAATCACAGAGCAGCCCAAGCAGGTAAGAAGAGTTTGTTATTCTATCAGCGGAGGGGGGAGGGGGGTGTAGTCCTACGGCATGTTAATGGTGCGCGTCTTCTCCCCTAGCGGGGTTTCCGCTTCCGATACGGCTGCGAGGGGCCCTCGCACGGCGGCCTGCCCGGGGCCTCCAGCGAGAAGAACAAGAAGTCCTTCCCTCAGGTGAAGGTGAGTCCCAGGGATGTCCAGCTGTCTCCGCAGGGTTGGGGGGTACGTGCCAGAATAATGCTGACAAATGAATTCTAAATTTGGGGAGTGGGGGGTTATTCCTTATACTGAGAATCTCTCCTGTGGTCAGGCTCTTTGGTCAAACCAGGCTGACATGTTCCTTATACGCTAGTAGTTCTTAACCCAAGATCATAAGTAATTAGTCAGATCTACACTTATTCTATCTGGTCTTTGACGCTGGTGTTTTTTTTGCAGGGTAGGATTTATGGGTAAAAGCCTGTAGATTAATATTCTGTTCAGAGGTCTCACCCTCCTGTTGTTCGCTGCTGACTTTCTATAAAATAAACTATGCATTATTCTGTATATTCCGTACAAGTTTTTTGTTACAATTTTTTTCCCCCTTTGAATCGGTGTTAAGGGCAGCAGGAAGTATACGTCTACCCCCGCCTCCCAGTTCCCCCTCCGGTCTTGCTAGCCGCCGCTTATCTGTCACTCTCCCCGCCCCCACCGGCTTCACTTTGATTGGGAATTTCCTGTCACCTCAGTTAACAGGAAGTGATCACTGCCGTCACAGAGGAAGACGGGAGGCGTTCGGTGTGCCGTCCGTCTTTCGGCCTACGGGCGAGCAGCCGGGGCTCTGTGCGTTTGAGGACAGCACCGCTGCTCGCTAACTAGCCGTTGCTAATTACGCTTTTAGCCTCAGTGCCGCTTAAAGTTTCCCTGAAGACGTGCAGCTCTGGCTATGGGTTTCCTTTTTAATTCAGAATCTCATTCGGACGTTTTCGTTCTGTTTCCGGAAAGTTGAAGCACCTGCTACATTTTCGTCTTTTTTCTTCAAACTGCTGGCTTTTCCCTGAAGCTTCCCTCCTGGAAACATAGAACCGTAGCTCCGTTTTCTACAGAATTTGAACCACAGATACAGTTTCGGTTCATCTCGGATGAGACATGGCAGCCTAGTTCAGGACAAACTTTGATGTGGTTTTGAATCACTGGGTGTGGTAACGGTCAGGGAGAAAGTCTGTATGTAACTAATAATCCCAGATAATACCTAACAATCCCCCACTCTCCATATAAGTGTGAATGCAGTGTGAATTCCAGATGTTTCTCTTGCCATCATGTTTGTCTGGTAGATATATGGGCAGTGGTGGCTTGATGGTTAAGGAAGCGCACTTGTAATTGAAAGATTGCAGGTTTGAATCCCCGACCAGCAAGGTACCGCCCCCAAGCACTGTTCCCCGGGCGCTGAATTAGCTGCCCCCTGCTGTGTCACGAAAAGTCACATATGGGTCAAATGCAGAGGACACATTTCGCTGTGGTATGTTGACACTGATCACCTAATTCTTATATAATTTACATACATGATTTGGGAAGATTGTAAGAATGCAGTTCTTAGAAATGAGAAACGTGTCCAGAACAGTGTGCTGGCAGCATGTTAGTGAGACTCGCCAATACTCACTGGGAGGAGTTCCTGTAGTGACTCACAGTAACTCAAAAGTGGCTGAAAAAAACACCCTGTTATTGTAAAAGGATAACACAAACAAAGGGGTTTTCTCACTTTTTTCTCTTTATTACTGTGTTGTTTTCCTTGAACAATGGTGGCTCTGTAATCGTGTTGTGACAGATGACAGGTACACACACACACACAAAGAGAACCTTCTAAGAAGAGTCTAGGAAGCAGACCTTGAACGAAGACCACAGTCGAAGCGCATTTCCACCCGATGGGTAGATGCCGCCCAATGGCGTGTCGTGCCCCGAAACATCCACCGCTTATCGCGAAAACACCAGCACTTCCTGTCAGATTGTTCGAACGCCTTCCGTAATATCAGAGTCGAAGTGTGATCCCCTCACAAGAGCTCCGTTATCGCATGTGAGATGTATGCAGTTATAGTGGAAACGTGAGAAATTATCTCTGCTAAACACGCGTAATATTTGAAGAGTGATGATAATCTCTTAATCAGGTCTGCAGTGGTCAGTGGGTGCAGTGAGCTGGTATTTACATGAAAGGATTCATGAAGGCATATGAGGTCATGTTCTCATATTATAGATTTTTCACGGTAGTGTTACTCTTCACACCTACGTTGACATTTCACACAAAGGCTCGTGGAATGTTTTCACCGATGTAATCGAATTAAGAAACACGGTCAGCTCTCCTCCGTTTTCGAATAATGGTTCTGTAATCGGAAACCCCCGCTTTGTCAAAGCTCCGAGTCTGAATGTGTACTGCCTGTGATTGCCTGTGCTGCTTTCAAGAAGTAAGCCTTCATCCCTTCATCCTGACTCATGCCAAGGGGCCTTTTGGAGGCTAGAATCAAAAGTCGACCACGGCCGCACTCTGATGTCCCTCGTTGATGTTACCTTTCTCCTCACTCAAAACCAAAATCGTACCCAGACCCGAAACCATCCGACCAATCAGAATCCCATGCACGAGTGAGTTTCACGATGTGCGATGGAGAAGTGAGCTGTCTGGGATGGGACACTGTGGTCTGTGGTAGTTTTTCACGCTTGCGTGCTGTTGTGCCAGATATGTAACTACCAGGGCCCGGCGCGCGTGGTGGTGCAGCTAGTGACCTACTCCCAGAATCCTCACCTCCACGCCCACAGCCTGGTGGGAAAGCAGTGCGACAAGGGAATCTGCATCGCCGACCTGCACCCCAAAGACACCAGCATCAGGTGAGGAACTGTGGACCTCTGGCTTGTGGTAGCAGTGCACCCACCTGAGATAACGTTAACGCTAACCTTAACCTTAACCTCAACCCTAAAAGCCTAATTCTGCTTTGGCTTTTCTTTGCCGTGGTGGGGGGGGGGGGTATTCATCAAAGTAACATCCTCTAGCGGTTACGACAGCAGAGAAAATTCAGGGCATTCTGATAGCCAGGGCTGGACATAACTGGTACGCAAGTACGCATTCACGTTTAAAAGCGATACGTGCCACAATCGATTGTGGTAACAGTGTAAATGTGAACTTATTTTATGTGCATTTGCACTGATATGAAAACAAAATGTAGTGCATTTTAACTTTACACTCACCTAAAGGATTATTAGGAACACCTGTTCAATTTCTCATTAATGCAATTATCAAATCAACCAATCACATGGCAGTTGCTTCAATGCATTTAGGGGTGTGGTCCTGGTCAAGACAATCTCCTGAACTCCAAACTG